AGCACGTCGTGTGGCAAGGCACGCTGACTCGTGCACGTGGGAGGTCATGCTAGCAATCCGCGTACCCGCGATCGGACGACCTAATGCATTCTCGCGAGTGTGGATAGTCTGAATCCGTTCTCTCATCTGGCACGATTAGATGGTCGCGATGAACGGTTCAGATTCATTTTCTCTTTATACGCGATCGTACAGTCAAGATCAAATCGCGATGAACGATTCAGATTCATTTCTTCTTTAAACGTGATCGGACGGTCGAGATCAAACGCGATGAACGATTTAGATTTAAGGAAGATGAGTATAAATATCTCACTTCATACTGAACCGAAACCCTAGCCGCCAGTCCCCCTCCCCTCGCCGGAGAAAAAAAACCAGTCACTGGAAAATGGAGTCTGTTGCCGCGCTGGAGCCACCTCCGATTGCTAAAAAAGATAAAAATTCTTTTATTCACTCGAAATTTGATTTTGAACACTCTCATGGCCAAATCGGAGCAAAAAGAATGACGGATGAGCTAAAAACTGCGGGTAAAGTCTAGCGGTGCCGCCGCGAAAAAAATCAAAAATTGCCTGTGATGAGCCCCTTTCTGTTTCCCGTTTCGTGCGATTTTTCCTCCATTATGTTCATTATTCTATTTTCTACATGTTGATCGAAAAAAAAAACACCCAGCCACGAAGGTGAGCTGGCGGAGCTACCGCACTAGAGAATTCTACCGCAGGTAAGTTTTTATTTTTTGACTTTTTTCGGCCAATCGAGACCCCTAACGTGTTTTTTTTTTTCACAGAGATGGATATAAAATTGGCCGAAAACGGCCAATTCGAGGTAAATCGCCGTCGCGGGCGGCAGTGTCGTCGCTGGAACACGACGATGCCGCCGTGCCAGAATTTCGAAATTAGCCGGAAAAGATTTTTAACACCAATTTTAGGTTTTTTTGGTATTTTTAGGTACATGAAGCGTGTTTTTACCTCTGCAGGAAAATTCAAGAAATCCAGGACTGCTAGTATGCAATAAAAAATTTATTATTTCGGACATTGATTCGGATAAGAATTCTTTACCTTATTCCTTGTTATGGAATTGAAGTTTAATTATAAATAATACAGTATTTTGCGTAATTTAGAAAACTTTGATAATTAATTACAGATTACTAATGGAGACAGAACCGGTTATTTATTACTGTTTGTCCTGTTTTAATTGATTGTTTGATTTTACAGTTTTAAATGCATGATAATACACTGAAATTGGTAAGATGATTCAGTTGTGTTTTCTTAATGCATATATTGCTTGTCTTGCGTGAGTTACAGTTAAATTGTGAAACTAAAAATTAAATATAAATAGAAAATTACTTGGTTAAGTGAATTAATGAAACGGT